CATCCCAGTTTCTCTTTCCTTTTGAACAGTTTCTTCCCATTTCCCAATATCTATTGTACACTTTGGATCTTATTCACTCTTTCAGCTTTGTATATCAGGGAGACAATATGTTTATGCATGTGAGTCTGATTCATTTCACTAATGAAATTCCTTCATCTAACATCTGATTTGCAAATTTTTTTTCTATTCTGTGTCTATTTCTTTGTTCTCTTAACAGGTTCTATCTTGGTACAAAAGCTTTTAGTTTTGGTGAAGTATAATTTATCATAGTTTTCCTTTTACAGACTGCATCTTTGATGTCAAATCTGACTCTTTGCTTAACATCAGATCATTGAGTTTTTCTCCTTTTCTCTACTAAAAGCTTTAGTTTTGTTTTACGTTTAAATCTATGGTTTATTTCAACTTAACATTTTTTTCGGAAGCATAACTGACAAATGAAATTGAATATATTCAAGGTATACATGATGATTTGATATATGTATGTGCTCTGTAATGATTACTACAATAAAATGATTCAACACATCACCACCATACATATATATATTGTGTGTGTGTGTTTGTGTGTGTGTGTGTGTGTGTGTGTGTCTGTACACAGGGTCACATTTTCTTCATCTGTCAGTGGACAGTTTGGTTGGCTTCATATCTTGGCTAGGTGAATAATGCTACAATGAACATGAGGGCACAGATATCTCAAGATAACTGATTTCATTACCTTTGGAACCTCCATATGTTTTCCATAATGGCTATACCATCTTACATTCCCATCAACGGTAAACAAGGGTTTCCTCTTCCCACATTGAAGCCAACACTGTTCTCTCTTATCTTTTTGATAATAGCCATCCTAACCATTATAAGGTGACATCTCATAATGGTTTTGATTTGCATTTCCTTGCTAACTAGTTTTATTGGGAATCTTTTTTATAAATCTATTGGCTCTTGGTACATCTTCTTTAGAAAAATGTCTATTCAGATATTTTGCCCATTTGTAAAATTAGGTATTTGTTTTTATTTTATGATTGAGTTATACAAGTTCTTATACACTTTGGAGATTAAAGGCCAGGGGTATAGCTCAGGGGCACAGGGTCTGCTTGGCAAACACGAAGTCCTGAGTTTAATTCCTAGTACAAAAAAAAAAAAGAGAATCATAATTTGGAGATTAACCCCTTACTGCATATATGGTTTGCAAGTATTTTCTTCCATTTTGT